ATGGGTCACACATATGGGTTATGTACATGTTTTTGAATCTTTAATAATATGATTGGTATACCAAATATAATATTTCTTTAAGTATTAAGGTTGAACAAATCTTTAGGCTACATCTGTTTACATTTCTTTTAAACTGTCTACCAAGCACTACAAACGAATTTCTAATTGGGCACTGAGTATTTCCTTACTAATTTGAAATAATTCTTTACATGTGGGTATTAACTCTTTTTATATATATATTACATATAGAGAGAATACTTTTTGTGATCTGACATATACTAAATTTGATGTATTTTTAATGTAATTATATATATGAATCACTCTTTTTTAACCTCTGCTACTGTATTTTACTTTATCTTTTCCTAAATCCAGCAGATACTCATGGACATTCTCTTTTAGTATATTTATTACTATACTTTTTATATGATTTATAATGGCATTTTATCAATACAACATTTTTCTGAGCTTTCTATTCTCTTCCAAATATATGTCTATTTCATGAACATCATACAGTTTATAAAATCTAGCATTACAAGTTCTCCATTATTCCTCTTTATATAAGCATTTTGTGGCTATTTTTTCTATAAAAATGAAATTCAGAATCACTGATATGTAAAAAATTACTGCTGAGATTTTGATTAAAATTATATTATACTTACAAATAAATGTGAAGAGAATGAAAATAATTAATGAATTGTCTTCGTATCTAGAAACAGTATCCACATCCTGGCAGTGAAGTTTAATAGTTTCCTTCCCACATGCCATTGACATTTCTTACAAAGTTTAATCCTCAGCATGCGTTTTGTTTCTACTATGAATGGGCTCTTTTTTCCTCATATTTTTGAACTGTTATTACTATGTAGGTCATATTACATTATTTAAATGGAACCTCACTACACTCTATTAGTTTCAGTTGATCGTCTTGGGATTTAGTATTATCTATAAATAATTTTAAACTTTCTAATACTTCTCTCTTTTAGTCCTTCTTTTCCTAATATACTAGCTTGATATTTCGGAGCTATTTTAGACAGTAGTGATGACAGCTGCTTATGCTGTTAATTCTAATAGAAGATAAAATCCTACAGTTTCATCATTCTTAGTATTTTCATTACTGACAGCTTGATTCCAATTTTGTTTTAAAAAAGTACAGATACTTCTCATAAAATATTAACTGTAGAATTCTCTAAACAGTGAGATAACGAGTGATTTTATTTCCCTTCACATTTTGCCAGTAAATGGATTGTTTAGGTTTTCTAAATCTATCTTTACACTTTTTAAAATTTAAATTTTGTTGATTTGTGTTTTTAAAAGAATCACTCATTTGATTAGGATTCTCATACATATGTGGAAAAGCACCTACAAAAATATTATCACTTTTTATCTACAGATAACTATAGTTATATCCCATAACTTCTAATTTTGAATATTTTTATTAGACTAGCCACAAACTCTTCCAACTTATTTTCCAAGTTTCCTAAAGTGAATGGGCACACACGTCCTTACCTCCTATTTCTCTGAACATTCCTTACTTATGGAGAACATTTTTAACTGCAAATCTTCTTGATTAGCAAACAGTATTTTGCAAAAGGCAAGAGAGAAGCAAAAGATAAAAAGCTTTTTATTTAGGAAAAACGTTCTACTGTCCTTTGTGAAAGACGGCATACCTAAAAATAATGCCTGGATACAAATTTCTCAAAGTAAACTTACTCTGCTAATAAAAACGATACCTCATCTTTTTTTATTAAAATACACTTGTGCTTTAAGACAACAGGACAAGAGGCCATCAAATAAAAATATTAACAATTTGATATTAGGAAAGTAAAAACATTCCCAGATCAACATTCCATGAAAACCAGATTCCAATATTCTTACTATTAAGACTTGCATTTAACAAATGTATGTGGCCATTTCTTCAAACCCCGTTTCTTTCTTCATTAAGTAACGAGTGTACTGAACCTGTCTTGCCATCTGAAATGAGCTGGAGATACATTATCAAAAAATGTCAACTTCAAATATAAACAGCTAAACTTTTCTTTTTCACTCTACCAGGGAAGTTTCAAAATGTTACAAAAATGCAAACCGCTGCCCATGTTCTAAAAACAGAAATGAAACAATTAGGTCACAATAGTTGGCTCCTCTCTTGGAAGAAGAAAAAAAAAAGATGACGAATGTGACTGGAATGTTTATTGTCACTGAGATTCTTCAGGCCCGGGTTCCAAGTACGAGGCAGGTTACTATGACAACTTAAGTTTCAGAAAACGTCCCCCCTCCTACCGAACTGTTTTCTCCGTAAGATCATCTCAAGCCTCCTAAAACCTGTGCGCACGAATTACCTGTAACAACAATAAACGTCTCTTCACCACTTTTACTCAGGAATGCCCTAATCTAAAGCATGAAAACCAACTATAAGCATATAAAAAATAAATTCCATTAAGTCTACATGGGACAGAAAACCCAACCTGAAAGCACACACATACACTGCTTAAAATATGAAATGTTGAGACTATTCTGAAACTGCTCCTCACTACCAAAGGCACAGTATATCACCCCCATCGGCTTCGCCCCAGAACTACGGGGATGACCTGCAAGGCCATTCTGAAAGAAGAGCACAGAGCTAAACCCTACTTACCATTATTTCCCCCTCACTAATGGTTTTATAGGAAGGTACCAGGAAAGGGGGGTGGGGAAGCCCTAGTACAAACAGAAAGAGAAGCAAATAAACAATCTGTAAAGTCTTATTTGTTTTACCCAATCTGTGGGGGTTTTTTTATAGAAAATATGGGCTTTAAAGTTTGCTCTCACAGTTCCAAATTTATAAACCTAACAAAGATGCCTTGCGATAAACTGTGAGTTACTCTCTACTATCATGCTTTAAAAGAATAACGGCTTGGGGAAATCTGCATCTTTATGGAGAAAATGTGATTTAGTAGAGATAATCTGATTGCATGGCATTAAAAATTAAAAGTAGCTCCATAAAAAAAAAAACAACTTAAGTTCTTTTACAGTGTAGTAATACTGAGAATCGCAAGCTGGCTTTGCTCATCAAAGTTAGCATGACTAAAATGAGATGCCTCATTCAGAAAGACGGGGAACTCACATACCCTCCCCTTCTACGAGTAAGCTGGGTTACTTCAGTAACCAACACAGGCAAAAAGTTTTATAAGTTTCATGCATAGCTAGCTATACCCTAGCCCAGGAGCCTTCATTTATGTAAAACAAACAAAACTTAATTTAAAAAGGAAAACAAAGCAGTGTGTTAAAGGAGCCTCTTTGCACTTGAGGTCAATAATGAAAGTCATTGAATTTTTAGTGTACTGAGCCTTTGAGCAGAAACAGCGGAAAAAATAAAAACTGTTCAGCAGCAAACTCCAAGCAACTCACACATCTTCCATAAAAGAAACAAAATAATTAAATTATTCAAACTCAAATGTACAAAATCCCTTAACACTAAACTTGAACTATAGTTCCTTCTTGGTCTAACTTAACATATAAATCCTCTTAAACAGAAATAATTCATGTATAAAAGAAAGGTTTATGGAACAGCTTTATTGGCAATGGAAGCTAAAACTAAAATTTAAGTGTGTAATCATGGAGAGAACTTTAGTCAGTTTAGCTGCATAAGACATTTTTTTTCCTTATGCTTTTCCTCGAGACTACTACAAACAGTATGACGTTAAAAGGAGCAGGGCCCAACTAGGAATTTTCAGGTCTCACAGGGACATAATAAAATTGCCTTATTACAATAAGACTATCATTTACTCTCAACACATGTGGCCTTCTAGTCATGGTTTTTCCTAATCCACAAGCAATGTAGCAGAGCCCACAGAACAACTGAACCAGGGAGAATGTGGACTAGTGCTTTTAGGAATCCATTCCTTCCACATAGTCTAGTAATTACTAGAAGGTTCTACGGTTATACTTCTTTATTCCAGGGAGAAATTAACGTATGTGAGACCTTCGAAATTCATCAGCTAGGCAAAAATGCAAGCACATAACTTGCAAATGAGGGACTATAAGTAATTTATGAGAGAGCACGCTGGCTGGTGCCCTTACACAGTTTACTCACCTGTAAAATGTGAACAGTTATTTATAAGTAATTCACTTACTACAAACAAGGTCAAATTATTTTCCCTCTTGGGACCAATAAGTCACTCTAATGTTCAAGACGTAAGAGATAATGCACATCAAACATACAAACAGCAAGTGGGATATTCTCACCTCAAGGGATTTTGTGCCCCTCTTTACTTAATGGAGCCAATTCTTGGCACTACTAAAGAGATGGAAGCGCAAACTACAGGATATATTTCAGACTTATCAAAACCTAGCCTTTCACTTAGAAATATGTAAGTGTCTGCTTTAAAAGAGGCTGTCTGTCCATTTAAAGCATTAGTAGAATAGTATCCAGGAAGCCCTAGAGTGGTGATACAATCTGTAAAATTTTGCCTCAGACTCCAAATTTGGAACCCAAAGTAGTTTCATGATGCTAGTAGCATCAATCCAATTTGAACCTAGGATTTACATTACAGTGGCAAAAAGATAAAATGCTGCCCAGCCAGTGTGGCTCAGTGCATTGAGCCTTGTCCCATGCACCAAGAGGTCGCAGGTTCAATTCCTGGTCGGGGGAGGGGAGGGACTTTCGGGCTCCATCCCCAGTAGGGGGCATGCAGGAAGCAACCGAAAGGTGATTCTCTCATGGATATTTCTATCTCTCTCTCCCTCTCCCTTCCTCGCTCTCTAAAAAAAATAAAAAATCAATAAAACTTTCTTTTTTAAAAAAGATACCATTGTTAACCACACTGACACTTTCCTAAATAAAAGGCTTACAAATGATGATTCTTAAGAGTTCAATAGGGAACACAATCTATAAAAGTCTCCCATACTTTAAAAAAAAAAGTGTTTTTAAAAACACATTATAGGGACTTAAAAAAAAACACATTTTTTTTAAGTCCCCATAAGTGATATTCTAGGATGTAGTAAGGAGTACAAATATACAGACTCACCTTGTCACGCTGGGATCCTCAAGCAGGAAGAGTGTGAGGTAGTCCTGAGGAAGGGCAGAGCACCAGGCACAGGCACCTGAAAAGGTACACAGTGTTCTTACAGGGGCCTGGCTAATTTTTATCTTAAAAATGCTAAATCACCCCGTTGCAACGCATAATCATTGAAGAGTAAAAATACGCAAGCTTTCGGCTTCAAACAGTTTTCCCAAGAAGACTTCTTCCTCCCCTTTCTGACCCTCCCCTTTAGTCATTTGAGCTGCAGTACTTGTGGAGTGGGTTTGTTTGGTTTGGTTTCAATTAGTATTTCTGTGCCTCTGAAAAAGGAATTTCAGTTGTTTCTTAAAAAGGTTACTTGGTGGGCCCATGGTGTTCTAGGAAAGACTGCGTGCCTTCTTCTCCTGACCAAGGCTCCCTGCAATACCACAATAATTTCTTGAAAGCAGTTTAACAGTTAGACATTTGGAAAATTGCCTAAGGTCAAGGCCTGAAAATGAAGCTGGAGGAGAGAGCTCAGGCTTTTGGTGCTAAAAAATAAAAACAAAAGCACGCTGCACTTTTCCTTGGTGAGTACAAATTACAACCACTGGCTAACTAAGAAAGAAGGTGACTTGGCACCAGTTTTTTGACCACTCTATGGCCTAATGCTGTGAGAATGTGAAACTGCCATGACGTTAGTTACAAAGAAAGCCTAGGAAAGAAATCTTGGCTACAAGGCGAGAATTGACGCAATTCTTATGTCTGCTACATTCAGACTATGCTCTTAACAGATGTTTCTGCATTTATTTATAGAAGGGTTTACTTTAGTAACAAGACCATCTTCCGTCAACCATATTTTTAATATACCAAGAAACTGAAGTACTTTTATTATGAAGAGAAAATGCCACCAAAAAAGTTACAATCAAATTCTTAGTTATGAAATAGTATGAAATATCAAATAAGAAATAGTGTAAGAAGAGCTCGAGGACCCCAAATCTGATGGAAGCTATCAGAAAATATATAAATTTCACACACAACTGAGGAAGGGAGACGTTAGACCAAAGTGTCCCCTTCCATACCTGGGTTCTCCCTGCTCAGCTACTCTAACCGTGAATGGAGACATTGTCCCCAAATCTGGTAACTGGACTAACACTTCATATAACTTAATAGTTTTTATAAAAATGCCATTCACTTCCGGATTATTTTTTACATAGTGTTATAGCTGCAGTGCAAAGGTGCACTAGAGTGCATGCTCTCAAGTTTTACAAGAAAAAGAGACTAGCAGTCACATTAAAACTGTTTCTAATGAAAATGAAAAGGCTTTAAGCCAACTAGATAAATCACAGAATTCCTGTTTTATCCTCTTAGATGGGTTAGAGCCTTCTGGCTTCAATGGACTGACTTATCTCCTAAATAAGCCAGAGGAAAGACACATTTGAGGCTCATGTGCTGCTCAGTAAAAGGGGCTGTCCACGGAGGGCGATGTCATGAGAGAAGCAATGAAGGGGCAACCCTGCTGGAAGAGAGGACTGGGTGGCGAGTTCAGAACCATGTGAGAAGACACAAAAGAGACTGACCACCTAACTCCCACCCTTGGGCCTGGAAACTATCTGGAATCCAGCCTATTTGGCAAAGAGATTCTTATTTAGTTAAATCAGAATCTCTTTTCCTACCCATCTTTTCTTCTTTAAAGCCTCACCTCTCTTTTTAGCTTTGTTTTCAAGGAAATCTTTTGGAAGTGGGAAGTGGGCAGTTGACAAGGAGTTTCTAAAATTGGCATAATCATCTTTTGTCCATGAAATAAAGTTCTTACTACCAGAGCCAGACCCTTAAAGGCCAAGGAGGTTATGACATCTATTGCCTCATATACAATTCAAAATGATACTGACACATATGCTGACATTAACATCTCTCCTTTTTAGATTTTTATAATTGTAAAATTCCGGATGAGTCAAGGCTCTTTGGGATAGGATGGGATGGGAAGTGTCCCAGTCCTGCCGGTATCCTGGGAATGTGCTTGGCTGCCTGTGGGAAATGCCAAACCTGACAAGAAGGGAGGGACTCGGGCTCTTGGACACGTATCCTCACCTCTCAAGTTCCTGAGAGGTCTCAATTGTCTCCCATGCCAGGCCTTACCAATTTTTTGTGTTGAACAAGCTCCAGTTGATCCTCCAAGAGTCAACTCAAATATCTCACACTCCCTGCAAACCTTCCCTTATCCAAACTGATTATTCCAGGTGTCTCCAAGAGACTGGCTAACAGTACTCACTGGCACTGTTTCCTAAATCCTCACAAGCCTATGAGGTAGGTAAGTTGTAATAAGAGAATGTCAGAAAACTAAAGAATAGAAAGGTTGCCCGGCCGGGCGTGGCTCAGTGGTTGAGCGCTGACCTAGGATGCAGGCAATCGGGGTTCGATTCCCGGTCAGGGCACATGCCCGGGTTGCGGGCTCGATCCCCAGTTGGGGGCGTGCAGGAGGCAGCCGATCAATGACTTTCTCATCATTGCTGTTTCCCTCTCTCTCTCTCTCCCTCTCCCTTCCTCTCTCTGAAATCAATAAAGATATATTTTTTAAAAATATACAGAAAGATTAAATAACTGGTCCAAGGTCATACAGCTATTAAATAGGAGAACCAGGAATTGAACTCAGGCAAATGGACTTCAGAGCCCATGATCTTAAACAACTGAGCTCGCCATTTCCAGTATGTATCTCCATTGTCATGTTTGCCTTTGCTTGAGGGCAGAGACATTTGCTACTGATACCGGCATTCACATTGCCCAGCACATAAGAGGCTTAATGAATTCACAGGGTTTTACAGTACAGCAGTGGGTTGTTCAGTGAAAACCTTGTCGCGCTAAATGATTCCTTCTATCTAGATATAATTCTCCTATGGCCACATGTCTGGAAGAGAGATATCTGTTACATAAGCAGTTGAAATGAATCATTAATGAGCATATACCAATATGCAAAATTTGGAGTAAACGGAAGGGGTAAAAATTGGAAACCTCTATACTCCAATAATTATATTACGATATTTCTGATAAAATTAAAAGTATTCACTGGACACTTCAAAATATGGGCTAAAGATAAGGCATTCTACTACTTTGGTAGCCAGCCTCTAAGACAGCCCCCAGAGATCCCCAGGCCTCCTGGTCTTCATACCATTGTGTATTCTCCTCCCACAATGAGCGAAGTTAACTTGCATAGCCAGTAGGATATCATGGGAAGAACATATGACTTCCAGGCTAGGTTATGAGAGGCAATGCAGCTTCCATCTTCCTCTCTTTGACCAACTGCTCATGTTATACGAACGTATCAGCAGCCCCACGAGGAGGTCCACATGGTAAGGAATTGAGGCCCCCTGCCAACAATCAGTTCAAATCTGGCAGGCATGTGAGCGAACCACCTCAGAAGTAGATCTTCCAGCCCCAGTCAAGTCTTCCCATAGACTACTTATGATTTGGAATGACATCTGGACTGCAACCTTATGAAAGACCCTGAGCCACAGCCAGTCACCTAGGGCATTCCTGGATTCCCGATGCAAATAAACTAGGTGAGATAAAAAATGTTTAGTTTTAAGTCCCTAGGATCAAGGCAATTTGTTATGCAGCAACAGATAACTAATGAATTTATTGTCACCTCCTCCAAGTCTTTACTTAAATTAGTTTAAAGAATGCAAATAGAAGTTACTGATGTAAATGAACACAGTAACAGGTTATTGCAATTTTAATACACTGAACATAAGCAAAACAGAATGATTAAGAACTCAAGAGCAAAGTAAGTTAGTTTCCAAGAGGTAGTGTCTTTTTTTCCTTTTTTCCACAAATGAAGTGAAGGATGCAGGCCTTTCATTTGCTTGTTAATGTCTCTTAATGACTACTGATGTGGTATATTCTTTTCTTTCAAATTAGGCCCAGCAGAATGGATAATCAATGGACAACACTGACATTTTCATTACTGTAGAAATCAGAAAAGAGCTTATTGCTCTGGTTGGTCAAATCTTTTAGGTCATATAAGAAAAAGTCTAAAGGTTTTGGAAGAAGCCAGCTACTCTCTACTCTGTGACCCTGAGATGTTCAAAAGTTAAAAAAGCGCAATCTTTTTTACTGAAAAGAAAAAAATCCATACAAATATTCAACTATAAATAAATATTCAACTGTAAATAAGATGTTACAGTACATTTTCAAAAGCAATATCTGTTTGCATCAATAAAATATATTAAAATCGTGAATATTATGCAAATTTAAAATTCTCCTAAGCCCGGCCGGGCGTGGCTCAGCGGTTGAGCGTCAACCTAGGATCCAGGCGATCGGGGTTCGATTCCCAGTCAGGGCACATGCCCAGGTTGCGGGCTCAATCAATGACTCTCTCATCACTGATGTTTCTATCTCTCTGTCTCCCTCTCCTTTCCTCTCTCTCAAATCAATAAAGATATATTTTTTAAAAAATAAATAAATAATAAAATAAAATAAAATTCTCCTAAATTTTTAGTTTTTCTAATAAGGAGTAGGAACAGTCAAGGGGTTTTTCCTTCTTTAACCTCAAAACTCAGAGACATTCTATATCTCTGAATATAATTCAGTTCTGCTAAAAGCAATATGCAATGCCAGTAAGAAAAATATCTTAGGTTTTACATATTCCCTATGAAATGTTAGAATAATAAAAGTTCTGTGGAAATCAATCCATTATGATGTTATCAGCTATATCAGTTTGCAAAGCAGAGGGCAACAGGAATAAAAAAGAATTATTCATATAATAAACATTCACCAAGTCCTTACTATATTTAAAATATAGTAGGGATTATAAAGGTAGATAAGATACGGGTTTCTTTCCACTAACTATGCAATACTTACGAGACACAGATAACACCTGTTCATAATAATACCAAATACACATTTGTAAGCACGAAAGAGAGGAAAAACGACAGCTGAGCGTCTATCCTGATGGAAGCCTTCATGAAGTAACTCTTTGCATTGGCATGTGGCTGTAAACTTTGAGCTTTTTTATATGAATGCTAAAAGTCCTAGTATACAGATGGCAAAGCTGAAGTTCAGAAAGACTGGGTTCAGAAAGACTGATCTGAACCCAGTTCCTGCCTTTGAAGTAATAGCAGGCACTCAGTAAGTGCGTGCCAGGAAACACGCTGCACAACTCAGACACTGTTCACAGCCCTGTGAAGGCAAATCCTACAATACTCATCTTGCAGATGAGGAAACTA